CACCACTACACCACAATTCTCTGTACATTAAATTTATATCCTGCTTTTCATTCTAGAGCCCAAGGTGGTCTACGTAATGCTCCCTACACCTATTTTCCCCACAATAACCCTTTGAGGTAGTCTGGGCTGAGAGAAAGGGACTGCCTCATAGTCATGAAGGGAGTTTCTGTGGTTCAAGGTGGACTTGAACCTGGATGTTCCTGGGCCCTTATCCAACACCATAACCATTACACCTCCTCTGGCTCTCACATTTTTGCAACCAAATGCAGGATTTCAGGGGCCAGGGGGTCTAGCAAGTATTGCCTCCCTGGAATGTGCCCAGGGCATTTGCCAATTTTTCTCAGTCCTGAACACTAACCAGCTCTTCTAGCCAAGAGGGTAGCTACTGTCCTGGCATGAAATAAAAGCAAAGGGTTGCATCAGGCGAGCCTAGTTGTCCTTGAGTTCCTTTCTGCTGTAGTCCCATTTCTCTTGAAGAGACTTGTTAAAGGGAGTTGACTGCAGAGAAGCAGATGGGCAACCTCTGTTTGACCCTTAGATAAGGAATACCATAAAGTCACTTGGATGTTCTTTTACATGTGCAAAGGTCATGGGAATTCCAGAATCATTCTGAGCAGATGCACTTTTGTAGCTCGAAAAGCACTTCAGATGCCCAGCAAGAAGTTTTCCCAGGACTTACCAGGTGGTGGTTTTGACCAAGAGTAATTTAAGTCACACATATATTTAGAGGTAAGGAAGATTCCCACACCTTTCCAAAGGCTTTCTCTGTTTTGTCCCTTCCCTCCCTGTAATCTGGATAAATCATATTACTGTTCAATAAACCCAGTTGCCACTGAACCTTTCTTTTTCCCCTTGGCACTGGAAATAAGGTTGGGGCCAGCTCTGCTTCTGGCTAAAGGGAGAGAGTGAGGAAGATGATCTTGATGGAAATATGCAAGAACTATTACCTAGGCAAAGGGGGGGCTAAACATTTTTTAGGTCCAGAGCAATGAGATAACATTTGAAAGTGACTCAGGCAGATGTCTCTCTGATTCTCAAGATTATAAGGAGGAGGAGGAAGTACCACACAATCAGACCTGCAAGATTCTATTAGAGCCTTTCTCAATAAATGTAGTTTTAGCCTTCCTGTGGAGTTGATTTCCTGGTCTAGTGTGCCCAGTGGGGCTGACGCTAATTTTTCCCCCCTGAGAGACATCTCTAACACTAACCTTTAACTTAGTTGATGTAATTTTCACCAACTGCGCCTAAAAGGTTGGTTGTATGAGATCCTATTATTATTTAATAGGTAAATAAGGGTATTCAAAGTCTAAGTGTTTGCGGAAATCGTGCTGTTTCCTTTTCAGAGTTTCTAAAATCACAGGACCTCCTTTATTTTCCCTAAGGGATCTTTATGTGATGCTGTACAGGAAGGAACAGGGTTGATAAGAGTGTGTGGTTACAGTTATGTTTACAGCACAGGGCAACCACAGATAAAGAAGTCTGAGCTCCCACCCCACCCTGCTGTCATCTCAGGGGTGCATAATTTTCTTTCTTTTAGGTTTTCAAGAATAAACTGGTATCTTAGCCGGGAGGCAGACCAATACCCAAAATAAAAAGATAAAATATGCATGTGAAGCAAGATGGCCATGGTTGTCTGGAGCCCCTTGAGAGTTTGGATTATGATCATAACAACCCCTCTCACAATTTACTGTTAAGCAGTAATGGATATTCACTCCCAGAACCCTGGAGCACATACTAGAGATCCAGATCTGCAGTTTTAATCCTCCTGGCCAGCTTTCTCCACCCTGCTGCCCTCATCTCATTTTCCAGTCCACATTTGAGAAGGGTCCTAGCTCTACAATGCAAATAGCCTGTCTGGCTCTTTTTAATGTTTTACTGCAGGTGGACTACGTTCAGGCAAACATTGCTGGATTTTTGAGATTTTTGAGAGGGTGGAGTTCATATGAAGCGGTCAGTTGTTTTTAGAATACGAAGAGTGTGTCATCAAGGTGAATTTGTGACCAAGGTGAATTCTGTAAATTTGATTTTAATGTTAAAACTCTCTTTTTGTGGGAGAGATTCAGATTAAAGAGCATGCTAATAGAATTTGATTGTTCTGTTGCATATAAACAGAGGCCAGTTTTCTACCCCAGTTGCTTATGGTATGGCTTCGCTGATCTCACAAAGGTTTTCAGCAACAGAGAAGTTGATGAAATCTCTTCTGTTATTTCAGGAAATGCAGAGTGTGATTAAACACTCATTAAATTTCCATTTTGTTTTTGCACAGTGCTGTGAAATAAACATTTATAATATATCAGTATGGAACTAAGCAAATTGCTGCTGTAATTTTGGAACGTGCACATATTTCAGATCTGCCGAGGACGGGCACAGCTGGTTTGAATTAAATGTTCTATTGCCTGGTCCTGTTCTCAGGAAGAGTTGGGCCCAAGATGCTATAGCACAAATATAGAAAGTGTTTGACTTCTTCTAAATTTGTGGTGGACCAGTCTGAATTGGTGTTGCTGGTCAGTACTGCACACTATCTAGACGTATTCTTGCTTTTCTAAATTTGTGATGAATCAATCTCTGTAAGGGTTGATAGTCAATACTGAGTGCCATCCAGATGTATTCTTGCTCTTCAAAATATGTGGAGGACCAATCTCCATTGCTGTTGATGCTAATGTTGAGTGCCATCCAGATGTATTGGATTACAGTTTCCATCTTCCTCAGCCAGTCTGGGCTGTAATCTAGTGTACAGAGAGCTGGTTTGCTTGCAAAGTAGCTAGAAACTGAATCATTGTGCTTTTCATATCTTCAGGAAGACACATCCAAAGAATCGTGAGCCCCAAACCATTTCAAACATTGTCTTTTTTTCTCTTTCTTTTTAACTTACAACCCCTCTGCTCACTCTCAGATGCCACATGTATTAAGGGAGGTCCAGAAGTAGTTTGTAACACACGCTGTCAGGGTCAAAAGAGAGAAGACAGAACCATTGTCCTAGGATGGCAGAAGGCTCTTGTATGAAATAAAGCACTGTTTTCAATTTCTGTCCTTTTATTTGTTGGTTATTGTGCTGCTGTCATCATTAACTTTAGTGTACTCTTCAGTGGCCTTGAAATGTCTAGATAAAACATCAAATATTTCCCAAGATACCTGGAATCTTTGTTCCTTTTGAAAAAGGCAATGCCATCAAGAGAATTTAAACTGTACAGCAATTTGATATAATCACCACTTTCACCTGCCTCTAACTGTTCTGAGTTGCTTGGGGCAAATAATACACTCTTATCAGATTATGAATAATGTCACTTTGATTTCCCATTCTACTTGAAGATGAAATATGCCCAGCGTACTGTCAACTGTTCCTCTGATATTTAAGAGCGTACATTAATGAAAGTTCAATCATTACATGTAACTGAGTTTAATTAAAGGCCACGCACTTCAGCAGTGCAATATGTGCGGGCATTCTTAGGGTAGATTCTAATAAGCTCTGCAGAAATTATTTGTGGGTTTATTTTTCAGCATGCAATGCACATTTCATTATTGACCTAATAAAACCATGCAATTTCATAGTATCTTTGTGAATTTCACAATATGTTTGTGAAATATTTTCCATGTTGGAATTATCTAATCCTTATATGAAAAATATTTTCAAATGGCTTCAGTTATCTGCAGTAGTTGACTCTGGCTGGACTCCTTGGAACGTTTCTCTTTAAAGAGAAAAGCCAACTCTCTATACCCGTGGACCAATTCTGATCGGCCCATGTTATTGCAAATTACATGGGTGATTATTATCTAATGTGACATTATTGTTTGTTTTTACCTTCTTATATTTTTCGTAGGCTTCATCACTGCATAGAACATTATATATCTTTAGAGACGTTTCTTCAGGCCTATGTAAGTTACAGATATAGTAATAAATCACTAGCTTATGTTAGGATCTAAACTTCCCTGCCATTTTGTTGGTCACTCTAATTCAGAGCAGAAAACCTTCCTATAGGAACGCATGTCCATTTCCATTAAAATATTCATATTAGTTCAGTTTCCTTAGTAATTCCCAACCATATATAGCAGAATCAGAGTTTTTAAGATGCACGTATAAAATATTTCTGTTGATGGGAATAATTGCATTGGACAAAGTAGATTCCCGGAAGCCTCGTTGTGGATGCTGGAGCTCCTGTGGTCCCATTATAGGGCGGAGGTGAATTCTTTAATTTGAGAATTGTTAGCAAGTAAAAGCAGCTGACTGATAATCGAGGTCTTGCCTGCAAACAACAAAGAAAGGCAAGAGAGACATCTTCCTTCTCTCCTGGTGAACACTTGAAACGTCAAACCAATTGCTGTTTGAAACAGAACATCAGATTGTGGCAAAGTTGATCTTTTCTTTTGATAAAATGAGTTCCTGGAAACTAGAGCAGGCAAGGCATGATGTTGAGGGGCTGGGGAACTGGGCATCAGTGGGAACAGAATATGCATTTTGACACCCCCCCCAAAAAACATGCATAATTCAAATGGCAAAGTTGAGATTTATTAGAGAGATTTGGATTTTTGAGATATACTTGTAGACAATGACAACAGAGTAAAAATGTGGGCTGTTGCATTTGGAAATTGCTGGCCCTTTAATATTTCCCTGTTCTTTGGGGACAATACGCTAATGAATTCCTAAATGATCTTAAGATACACACTTTATTCCTAAGCGTAAGCATACTTCGGTAAAAGACTCGGTAAGTCCACAGGGTTGTATATGTTTGAAAATGTAGCCCTTTGTCTCTTAGTAATGTGTGTATGTGTCTGTTTAAAGAGAGAAGATGAGGAATTGGAGACCCAAGAGTTGCCATAGCCGTATTTATTTATTTAGGCCCCTCCATTTATAAACCACAGTGCTCGAAAGCTCGCTAAATCTATAACAAGATTTTGATCTTATACTGGAGTAAATGAAGGCAGTCTTGGGGCAAGAGGAGACAAATTGTTAAAACTATAATTAGGATTCATATAAATAACAGGTGAAAACAATATATACATACCGGCGTTTCCCAACAGGCTTAGAGCACGGTGTGCTTTTTTCATCAGGCTACACGTAGCTGACTTGTTCTTCTGTTTTATCAACTTCATTCTCTGTGAGTAGCAACGTGTCCAGCAGAATGGCTGATGAAGACTGAATGGGTGAGTTACACAGCCGATGGCTTTGGTACGTGACTGGATTAATCCCATTCCGTATTCCGTGGTGCATCATAAAAAGCTTTGAGTTCTCGGTCATAGAATTTTTGAATGAGAGTCTCGTGGAGGGTTTCCGGGAGGCCCTTCCAGGAGCTGAAGTCTGGTAATTGCATGTGATATACCTGCCAAAGGCTTCCCTGAATGTCTTATTGAAAAGGGTGTAGACCAGTGGATTTACACCTGAGGAGACATATCCGATCCAGACAAATATCTCCATAAGCATTTGAATAAATTCCTCGCTGCAGGATTTGCACAGGACGGACGTGATGTTGGTTATGAAGAATGGACACCACATCAGCAAAAAGAGAAAGAATACGATCCCCAAGACCTTGGAAGCCCGTTGTTCATTGGTGATAGATTGAACTGACTTTTTCCCGATTGTAGACATCCTGCGTATTAGCAGTTCTTCGTTCCCATTTGACAAAGGTTTGTCCTTCCTAGAGCCATCTAACATGGCTATTTTTTCTGGTGAGGATCCAGGTGTCATATCCCGCTGGAACACTGTGGATACGGTACTCCAGGTCAAGCGTTGAGGCGGTTTGTTGATCAAGTAAGCTTTCTTGTGCAGAACCCGGATTGTGAGAAAATAACTGACTACCATGATGGCCAGTGGAACAAAGAAGGCAGCTACTGAACCATATAGGATGAAGTCTCCAAAACGATCGGGCTTTAGCACACAAGTGAAGTTTTGAAACTTTTCACTATTTTCTTCAATCCCACGAATTGGGATTGGAATAGCGATGCCTGGAAAGGAAACAGAAATCCAGTAAATTTCATATGTGGAAGTGGGGACATCTGAATATTTTGAGGAGAGACACTGTGACTTGGGGACATCTGCAGATGGGAGCCCAAATAGTTCTCTGGATGAACACCCCTTACCCTGTGAGAAATGGCTGCATCTTTTTTCTTCAAGATGTGTCATCATCCAGAAACTCAAAGGGGGATAGCAGCTTGAACATCGATCTCATGTATCATTATCGGAGGAGGAGCAGCAATGGGATGAGGTTCTGTGGCAGAACCAACTCTTACCATCTCCAACTCTGGGTCTCTGGGCTGTGATTCTGACAGTACTATACCTCCAGCTCCATGAGAGAGGCAGCATTGAGAACCAAACAGTAAAGAGAAACAGGCATCAGATTTCAGGGGAGAGCACCATGGACATCATACTTTTTTCTGAGAAGTTGGGAGCTTCTCCTGATCAGACCTGAACCCTGGTTCAGAATCATTAGCACCAGGGGTTGCATGCGGGTTATGAAGCTTCTTCTATAAAAGCCTCTTTCTGAGACCATCCAGGTGCTAGAATAATGTAAGAGTGTCCTCAGCTTACATCTCCTGTGCCATATTGTAACCCATTGCAACAACTCTAGTTAGCTGATCAGGGGTCGATACTCCATAGAAGTAATGGATTTAAAGCTTCATGATTTATTATTGCGAGATCATTTTCAAGTTGGTTTCTAATCATTAGAGCAAGCATCAAATCACAATTACAGTGACTTTGCAAATCCACTGTTAGACTGGAAAAGGTAAGTAACCAGCTAGTGCCCCAAAATGTCACTCAGAAATAGCTCCAGTGAATTTTGGCATCCAGAACATAAGCTCCCCCAACCCCACTCACCCTTAGTTTCTAGGGTAATTTGCAAATACCTAGCCAAGCTCCTTAGTCCTGAGACGGAGACATATATAAAGAAATAAAACTTTTAAATATTTTTCCAGGGATTCGTTCAGGGATGACTTTGCGGGATTTGTGCTATTCTCCCCACACACAACTGACACTCTCTACAACTTCAACTAGTGGCAGAGCAAGCTTCCCTTAAATAATTATCTTTGACAATATAAAACAATTTTCTCCACTCCAATAAAGTCCATCTGTGCTGGAACAACTCCTGGAAGTTGATCTGCATGGCACCAGATGGGAAGAAGAAGATATAAAGCACTTGACCCATTTTCTGTCAGTGTCTCTTTTTTACACATCCACACAAGGAAGGACAATGACAGGAGGCCAGATCCTATTTTTGATGGAGAGTAGTGGTATTCACACCAGTGAGAAAGCATCTTAAGGGAGATAGTTGGGACCATGGGGTGAAACTGGTTGTGATGCCCCTGGTTGTCTTCCCTAGCCGTCTGAAAGTGAGAATACCACCTTCTCAAAATTCCCAGACGTATGAATCTCCCTTCTTCCCTCATTTTAGTGGCCATTACTGAATATATTTGTGGTTTCTGCAGAGCTGACCCAGCTATCAAACTGCCTCTTGAGCCTCTCCAGCTCGGCAGGGTTTGCCCATGGTATTTTCACTGTAATGAAAAATTGTTTGATACGGTTTAGGGATTTATGGTGTCTTGGGCCCTTATTGAATGTCAAGCAGTATGTGATCTCAAAATTGCTAACACTGCAGTTGGGTTGTCTTTTTTGATCTCTTGCTTCATTCATTCACTGTAATAATCAGAAAAGTCTTGTCAAAAGTCCTGAAATTATGAGAAGTCACTCTTGTCAGACTGAGTGCATTAAATGATTGTTAAGGAAATGGTGTGCATAATACTACAAAAAGCAGACATTAAAAGATTGATTCTAAGTGCCTTGCCTTATTAACTACTTCTTTCTTTGACTTCAGAAGTGATCTGTTGTTGAATATACTTTTTCAGGAAGCAGTGGTTTTTTTTAATCTTGGGTGTAGTGGTTGGCCAAATGGGCAGTATTGTTTTTCATCCTCCACTGTCAGCAGAATAACTGATTTGAAGGTCACTTTTACTGAGTTGGATATTTGCTGTAAATGAATCTTCTGCTATCTGCCTCTTGGGTTTAGAGACATTGCCAGCCAGCAGCTTTGAATCACTAATTCAGATTCACTGATCTCTTAACTTTGGGAGTTGCAGTGCCCAACACTTCTGCTAGCACCACATTGGAGAGACTTTTTACATCTCAGCAGTTAAAGTCATAGCCTTCATCAGGAAGAAAGAAGAAGCTATCAAGGACCATTCTGTTTCTCTTGTTCAGTTCTTTTAAGATTCAAGGTATGTTAGCAGTGACATCTTTCCCTGGAAAGACTTCAGGCTGGTTGAAAATTCTGTGACTTGAACCAGAAGGGCATTAAGATTGGAAAGGCTGTACTAGAACCTGATGTTCGCTGGCCCTGAATTAATGTCTGCAGAAGAAGCCAGTGTTTTGATTTCCCTGTGCTTAGCAGTGTGTGAATTCTGTTCCAGAAGCCCACCATTTGTAGTAGAAAGATCTACAGCAGCTGTATGTGATCCTGAGGGATTTCTTATGTGTTATCCTGTTGCATTAGGCTACAGTGAGACTCATCTTAGTAAAGCTGCATGAGGGCTCCCTACAGCTGTCAGAAAGACATGGTAACATTCTTTGAGACAGACAAGTAATATAAGACAACTGTATTGAGCAGACTGAGGATGTGACTCTGCTTTTTCTGCTTTAGACTCCAGTTTCAATTCAGAGCTCCCAGCATTGCTCTCAAGAAGGGACTTAATGTGAGCAAACAGAGACTGGCTCTCACTTCTGAGACTGCCCGTTTCATTGTGCAGTATTATGTTCCTTTCCCCATCCCACCTCTGGTGCTATTTCATAACTTCAAAATGTTAACCAGTTTCCCCCTCTGTGCTTGCACATACCTATTGAAATCAGCCACACCACTGTTATTTTGATAAGTGTTGTAGCCCGTGAGTTGTACTGGCTGGCCTGGATCGGCTTTTTTATGGCAATGTAGCGGTCCAGTGAGATGGCGCAGAGGTGCATAATGGATGCCGTAGAAAAGAGGACGTCGAGGAACAGCCAGACAGGGCAGAGGACCTGTGGAAGCGGCCAGGGCTTTTCTGAAACGGTACAGAGAAGGATCAGAATATTTGGGGGGAAGGAGGGGGTTGGTGCAGGAAACATCTTTCTATGAAAGCCCTTTCATAGGGAGCACATTTAGCCAATTACTTGCTGAACTTCATCGGGTCCTCCTAGTTTATCTGGCAGCATTTTTAAACTTACTTTAACAAGTGACATACTCCCTTCCTCCACAGAAAGGGGACTCTTCTTCTGAGATGTGACAGGTGCTCACACTATCTAAAAATGGGACATCGTGCTTTCTGCAGAACTCCGATCAAGTGCAGGTTTAACATCCCTATTCAGCAACTGAGATTTCTTTAATCCTATGCAGGCCTTCCCCTAAACCCCTGTTTAATAGAGGCACACTACACCATTGGCAAAAAATCTGGAGGATTCTGGTAATAGCTTCTCTGACTAATACATTTCATTAGAAGGTCTAAGCTTTCATGAGCAGCAGTTGGATTTCAGTGGCAAAAGGTTAGGTGTGATGTATTGTGTGCATTTGCAGTGCAGATTTCTGCCTTTGAGCAACACTGCCCTGTTAACGCAATTCTTATGAGAGGCTTTGCTGACCTTAAGAGTTGACAGTGGTTGGTGAGAATGAGCTGTCTTGCTTCAACACATGAACGTTTTTTCTTTTCAGTGTCTTCAGAGCTGAGCTCTGAATCTGTAAGATCCAAGTTAGTCTGTTGCAGCGACACTTGAAGACTAAACAAACTGTGATAGTATATGCTTCCGTGGTCCACAGAAGCTGATGCCATAATAGTTTTGCTTGTTATTTAAGGAGCCACAAAATGGTTAGAATTCTTTATCGCCACAACCAGCTTTTGAAGTATGTATTGTGATCATCTCACTTCGATAGATTCAGAATCATTATCATCATTCCTACATTATCCAATCCAATCCAGTTTTTACTACTTAGTGGGCCAAATTAGTGATTTATTGTTTATTTGCTAAATTTATTCATGCCTTTCCACTCAGACCTCAAGCCTTCAAATTACCTTCAGATTCTTACATCAGAAATGAATAATACGAACTGATGCCCATCAGTGGGAATCAGTGAGTTTAGGGGCAGAAGGTATCAGAAAACTCTTAATTGCTTTGACCTACATGCGCAGGTCTTTACTCGTGTACCCGCGAACCCAGGAAATGCACTTCTCCCTTAAAACATTTGTTGGATGATCGGAGTTTGGTACTTACCAAACAATAGAGTAAGCAGGGCTATTGGCATCACAAAGAGTCCAACCAGCAAATCTGCCACCGCCAGAGACATGAGGAAGTAGTTAGTCGCGTATTGTAACTTTTTCTCCAGAGACACGGCCAGTATGACAAGAATATTTCCTCCAATGGTGGGTATAATGACAATCAGGATGAGCAGAGCAGCCCAGCGTAGTATATTCCATTCCCCAGAGTTGAGCTGCACGGATGCATTTCTGAGGTCAGATGTGTTCAAAGGCAAGACCATTTTGGTGACCTTAGAGTTTGTTTGTTACTTAAGCATTTCACAGAATCTAAGAACTTGGTCTTCCTATGCAGCCTGATTTGATCTTGATGAAAGATCAGCATGATGTAAACGTCTCATCTGCTTCTGCTGGAGGTCCTGCTCCAATCAGTGCTATCCCCAAGTTTCTGTCCTGTCCCTTCCTTAGATAGCCACGTCAATTTAAAAATGAAGTAAATTTAAAAATGTGTGCTTGCTAGTGTTGGCCCATTGGTATTTATAGATCCTTGTAGTCGGGTTGGTTGTGAAAAAGAAATCTTTAAAAATCAAATGATTGTTGAAGAGGGAGGTAGCAGATAACTCTGCGTCTTCACATATGGCATCAAGATTTAGAACTTGTATTGAAGAGATCTCTCTAGGTGATAAAAACATCATTTTTTAATTGAGATACTGGAATTATTACAGTTTGATCGTTATAATCTGATTTATTGCAAAATAAAGTAAAATCACTAGTTTTTCTCTCCCTTTCCTCAGTAGTTGACACGTGAAAATCCCATTTTTTCCTGTTGAATTTGTTTTTGGGGGAAAAGATTAAAATCCACATTTTGATGGAAAAATAGGTAAGAGTACAAGTAACATTTCAGGAGAAGATTATTGACGCTAAAACTATAATTCTGTGCCTGTTGGTTCATAAGTAATTCTTTTTCACATTATGTGGGGCTTATTCCAGGTAAGAGAACGTGGGTCTCCACCCTAAAACTATTGTTGTTAGTCATTTATCTGGCTTGGAAAAGAATAATTACTGACTAGAGTTGGATTGTGGATTCTTGAGCAAAGTGTTATCATAGACTTAAGCCTTCTCCACAATGAATCTGCGGTGGACTTGTTCCCACCTTCTTTCCTCTAATGAACATCAATTTCCCTTCAGACTTTCATCTTTGCCCCTTATTATTTTGGCAAGCTTTTCAGTACCCCAAGTTTGATCTGATTCTTATTCCGCATTCTCCTAACAAGAATTACTACCAGTAGCTTGGAATAAGCAAAGTCTTACCTTGATTTTATTTTTCCTCTCTCTGGAATTTAGAAGAGTTCTCTTGGTACTTGAACTGGAGACGTTTCTCCAAAGCGTCACACGTATCTGCGTGCTCCTGGTTTATAACACCCTGAATTTTTTAGAATGTCTTTAAAATGCCCTGCTTTCTTCAAAGCCACCCACTCACTCTTGCAACTGAAATTTGGAGTGCGGTCAGCTTCACTTTGTGACGAGGCTGCTGATTGCTTTCTGGTGTCAAGTAGAGGAGGAGGAGAACAGCTTGAATCAAAGCTTCCCTCCCCTTGTCCGGCTGTCATTTCGTTCAGTAATTTCTACGTACTTGATCAGTCCCTCAGTGCTTCCCAGCCCTTCCTTGCATCCTGTTCCCTCTCTGCACAGCCTTCTCTGTGTCCACTAGCTCCGTTCACAGCCTGCCGATATCATCTGTTGATTGACTCGTTCCATGCTTCCAGCTTCAGAGCTTAAAAGCAAAGTAGCAGACGACTCAGCCACCTCTTTTCTTTTATGTGTGCCTTGTCTGGGGTGGCTTTTTGGCATCAGGGAAAGAGCGCGCTGTACTTTTTTGTCCGCATCTGCAACCTTCAGCCCTTCTCTGCTGTTTCTGTGAGCTAGTGAAAAACCATTTTTTTGCACAGGAGCAGGGAACAAATTGCTGTAACTTTTCAAAATGGGGCATTATGCCTGCATCCAAATGCACGCTAGTCCTCGGTTGTAGCAGAAGCAGTTCATGTGATGCCATATACTTTGGGAGAGTACCTTTTGGGATGGTAATCTGCTCAGCATTCTGACTCCTACAACACGTGCCAGTGCCCACTTGGGCATTGTCTAGTCCTTCGCTTGATAAGTGTTCCCAGCTGCCCAGCTATTTGAGCTTTCCATTTTACAGAGGGAACACTGAGTCTGCGAGGTGCTAGTGTGCCTGACATCCTTGATGACGTTTATAAAGATAATCCAGAAATATAGTATGCTTTTACTGTGCTTTGATCCTAAACGTACTGCTTAGAAGTTGGTGAATTGATTTCTCTGCAGTTTCTGCCCAGCAGAATGGGAAGAAAGTGGGGGAAGAATTGAGAGCAGGGAATTTAACTTGAGGAAGTGCTCATTTTAGCTAATTGCAGCTCTGTGTGATAAGGAGCTTGGACAAAGCACAAAAGCAAACACGGTATAAGCCCTGATTTAGGCTTTAAATATAAACAATGGTTAAAACAAGCCATGAGTCATAAACTACCCTCAATCCATAGTTTCATACTGGGATTTATTGTCAAATAGTTGTTTCCTAATTTATTTATTTTTAAAATACCCACTTTTCATCATTAAAAATAAAGTCCAAAGCAGATAACAATTCGAAAATAATGTATGATAAATTAAAGAGAATTGAAACAGTAGTTGAATAAAAATTACAGAAACAACGGGGCACTTTTAATCATGAACGGCTTGAAAGCTATGATGCAGGACAACATCAAGCAGATGAGGAGGTGCACCTGAACTTTGGATGGGTGGCACCTTCAGTCTTAAGTTGATGTCAACTTAGGAGGACCAACATTAATTATATCTGAAGTGTGGTTTGTTATTCAGGATATGTTTTAATGTTTAGTCCAACTTGGGCAAAAAAATTCCTGGTTTTATGTTTTGTGTGAACTAGCCTAAGTGTTAACCCACTGTTAGAAGCAGTTTTGGCTGCTAGTTACAGAGAAACTCAAGGATTCCTTTGACTTCGACATGCCTATCTTGGAAGCTTCCAGTGGGGTTTAATGTCTGGCTACTGTGAAATTAGAACCCTGAATTAGATTGATCTTATCAGCCACACTTGATCGGCTTAGCAGAAGATGCTGCCATAGCACGAACATCAGCATCTGTTGGGGGGGTGGTTAAAACAGGTAAAATGGCAGTTGTAGCATTGAAATGGAAGCCCTGCCCCTTTTGTATGTGCGCATGGAGTAGGGCACTGCTATCGCTGTTTAACACTCACCCACCTATGGATGCCACGGAGTACAACTGATCTGTGAAATTCCATAATAGGAAGATGTGACGACTGACCAACAATGTCTTTAAAAAGAAATTAGAGTCCAGGATTCTTGGTCTCTTGCTTGGTATTAGGCAGGCTTAGGTGGAAATGCTCCTGGGGAAACCTTTTGCTATGAGACAAACTGTCAGAAAGGACTATTTCTTTCATGTGCTGCTGTTGAACTCTCTGGAGATTGTACATAAACCAGGATGCTCCATCAGTTGGCACTTTTCTTCTCCAGCCGGGCTCTTGCATTTAAAGCAGATAGGAATTCCAGAGATGTATTCGTAAAAGGGGTTGGGCAAATAACAATGACTAGAATAATTAGGTGAAAGTTAAAGATACTGCAGGCTGTTCTTCAAAGTGGGGTTTGTGAGAGATCCCACTATGAGTTTGAGATCAATGTGAAGAGGGGGGAAAAAAGCTTCATATATGTGGCTTGGAAAGTTTAGGGAGTTGTTTTTTAACATTGGGTTATCCAGACCTCTGGTTTCGTGCATTAGAGCTATCTTTTTCTTCTATATCTGAAGAATTGTATATCTGATGTTTGCACACTGTTAGATCAAAAATTCAGTAGGTAATTTTTCGCACAGGGGAGAAAAGTATGTCTTAAAGGGTTTTTTTCCCCCAAGAGACAGAACTTTGTGTTTGACCTTCCAAAGGAATTGAATAGTGAAAATTAGATTAGACCAGATTGAACATACAGTTTTGCAATGAAATGAAAATCCCTCTGATATAAACTTATATACACTGCTCTCTCAAGTAAAATATGCTAAATAAAAAGTTCTGTATTTTCGCCCCCTACACATTTACCTAGGGGTTGTCAATCCAATTTTATTTAAACAGGAACCAGCTGTACAATTAGTAGCAAGTTAAAATATTCAAAACCTTTCAAAGATCATAAGTTGATTTGGAAATCAAGAGGTGAGAAGCTTAAAGAACAAGGCAGTGCTCGAAGCATTGTGGGGCTGTGGTAAAAGCAAGGATTGGAAGGCATGGAGAGTGAATGGTGTTGGTGTTGACTAATGTTGGCTACATTTCCTTTTCTTGTTATCTTATGTTATTAATTGAGCATGTCTGCAGGTATATGACATGGTTGAGAAAACTGATTTGGAGCATGTATTTATTGCTCATGAAGACCATTTTTTGACTTATGTGGAACACATTCCGGAGTTCTCCGCAATGCAGACTCTGGTTGCTCAGAGATCTGCAGGGTTTAGAGTTCATCAGTAAGCAAAACGAACACAATGAGAAAGGTCTCCCTTGGTCTAAAAAGCTTGACATTGGATTTCCCTAAACTGTCTTAGGCATGGAATTCATAAAAATACTCTTTTGTTAACAGTATTAGTAACTGTTCTTTTTATAACTTGGAGGTCAATCCCTAAATCCCTAGGTAGCATAAGAAGACCACCTTAGCAAAGCCAGTCATTGTCACCCTTCATCCCAACAAGTACAATGTGGAGCATGATAACATGGACTTCCAAGCCAAATAATGCACCGATGATCATAGTCATGCTTGAGCGTTCTTCCTCAAAATTACCAGTGTATGATGCCAGCCAAGAAGTGGCCAGTCAGTGATAAAGATCAACATGTGCTGGAGAAGTAAAAAGGAAATTAATCCTAGGGAGGAAGGCAGTGATGACCTTAGATGACATCATGAAGGATTATAACATTTCAGTGGTGAAAAAAAGATGGAACAGTTAAAGCAGGGATCTTTTCAGTGATGATGTAGAGCTGTGAAAGCTGGATGTTAAGTAAGAAAGAAGATAGGAGCCTTTGAGTTATGTCTTTGGAGACAGTTACCAAGACTACTGTGGACCACAAGAATAACCAGCTTCAGTCCGGCACCAAATAAAGACTGTCTGTTCCCTTAAGAAACTGATCAGCAAGCAGAAACTCATCTACATGTAATGTGAGTGGATACACTAGAAAAAAGTAGGTTAGCAAATTTCAGAGAAGTAGAAGGAGGGCAGGAGAAAGCACAAGATGGATGGATGGAATCAAAAAGATTATTGGAATGACCTTGAAAGAGCTACTAGTTATTACTAAGGACAGACCAGGATAGTGATTATTTCCATCCATTGATCCCATTCCTTTCAGCCATTTTGAATCCTGGAAAGTTGGAGTTCTAAGTTGCATGGCGACCTTCCACAAATCAGAAAGACTCCATACTATGGAGGAGTTCCATATCAACAAATGGAAGCTGGCAGGAGCGAGGATGCCCCAGAAAAGGACAGAACCAATCTCATTTCTCTCCCAAGAGGGCATAATAAAGAGAGAACACTAATTTGATTAAGAGGCATTTCTAAAAAAAGAGCCCCTCTTTTGAAGGTCCATGTTGTCTCCCAGGTAAATACCATCAGACTATTATAAACCAGAAATATAGTAACACCAACATAATTGTGGCAGCAGGACATTCATCCTTTTTTAAGTGTAAGGGCTTTGTATTTTATAGGTGTTGTTCAGTAAATACATTTTGTTTTGTAAATTTCTATTCTATGCCTCTGAAAAACAGCTACTTTGAGCAAATTCAGAAGACTAGAGTGCAAATTAAATCTTGTCACCATGTTCTGTGATCTGTGTTAGTCTTCTACAAGTTGGCAGTAGCTCTTTGTCATCTGAGGGTATGAAAAAATCCTGAATTTCCTCCTCACCTCTTCCTTGAAATGTTAGTATTTTCACAGGGGGAAAGTGTGGTGTTTTGTCTTTTCTGAAGGGAAGACTTGAAAGAATGTGGCTTCATATTTGTCTTTATTGCATCTGATGAAATAGATGCTAATCTAGGAATAAGGGCTATATCTCCAATGTATTGGCACCTTCTACCCATGCTGAGATTGCAACATCAAAATTTCCATCCAGCATATCCAACAGTCATTTGGCCAATTGGTAGAGCCAAATCAGATGGAGAATGCGGCCTTTGGATTATGGAGAACTTAATAAGTAGCGGCAATTGTTGCTTTGGGAAGCTCTGTAGGAGTATGGAAATGGAATTTTACCAGGCCTTGCAGTTTTGAACAGGGACAGGAACAGATCCATGTCACCACCTCTTGGTCATAGAATGAAAACTTAATTCCTAAAAAAATACCATCACTTGGCAGAGCTTATGTTGAAATCGTTATGGAGTTATCACCTTCATTATACTGCAGAATACAGCTAGTCTTTGAGTTATGACGGCAATTGGGACCGGAATGTCTGTCGCTAAGTAATGCGGTTGTTAGGTGAAACATCACATGACCACATTGCTTAGCAATGGCAATCCCAGCAGTCCTCATTGCCGTCGTTAACCTAATCCCACCAGTCGTTAGGCAAGGACCCACCCCGATCCAAGCCATTCTCGGCTTGGTCTGTCCCAGCCCCAAGCCTTGGTAAGGTAAGGGATTGCCCCCTCCTCAACTCCCCCCCACCTTTCTCCCCCCCCAATCTCTGGCCTTTTGGCCACCCTGCACAGCGGCACTTCGTGGCAGCAGTGCTGGGGTTGAAGTAGAGGCCTGGGGCCTTCAGCAGTCTCGGCCCACCATCATTGCCACCAGCCCTCTACTTCAGTCCCAGCACCACCGCTGAGGAGTGCCGCCTCAAGCACTGCAGCCAGCTACCCCAGCGCCACAGTGCAAAGCCCCCATCGCCCCACACTCTGCAGGCCCTGCCACGCCCAGCTGACCTTCACCATCATCTTCCTCTGGCTGCTGACATGCGCCCAGCCTGGCCCTATGCAAGGCAGCTGCTGGCTGTGCCAGGCCGCCTTCCCGAGGCTGCTCATGCCGTTCTCCAAATAGAGCTTCTGAGGCCTTCTGAAGCATTGCGAGAAAGGCGTGCACAATTTGGGGAATGGCGCGAGCGGCCTGGGGAATTCTGGGAGTTGAAGTCCGCACATGTTAAAGTTGCTGAGGTTGAGAAACGCTGATCTAATGAATTAAATCCATATGTTTATTAGGACTAATCAAATTTGGGGAACGATGGGTGCTCATAAGGTTTCAGAAGGTCTTGGTAGCTTTCTAAAGCATCACGAAAATGGCGAATGCAGCCTTGGGAGAAAGTCTGGTGCAGCCAGCAGCTGCCTCACATAGGGCCAGGCCAGGCGCACCTTGTCAACAGTGGGAGGAAGAAGACGGCAAAGGTCATTCGGGGGCAACAGGGCCTGTGGAGAGCAGGGCAGTGAGGGTGGCTGGGGCTTGGTGCTGTGGTACTGTGGCGACTGGTCATGGCTCAGGGCTTGAGGTGGCCCTCCTCAGCAGCGGTGGCGCTGGGGCTGGGGCTGAAGAAGAGACCCAGTGGCAGTGGCGGGCAGCTGAGACTACTAAAGGGCCTCTACGAAGTGCCATTGTGCGGGGCAGCCAAAAGGGGCAGAGATGGGGGGGAGATAGGCAGGGAGGAGTCGAAGCCCCTACGGTCGTAACTGCGGGTGGGCTGCCAAGTGCCCCAATTTTGATCATGTGACTGTGAGAGTGGTGCAACAGCCATAACTTTGGGGACCGGGCATAAGTACCATTCATTCAGTCCCTCTGTAACTTTGAATGGTCGTAACTTGAGGACTACCTGTATGTAGGAGAAGGTATGTTGGTTAGAGCAATTGAAAAAAAGCAGAAGCATCTCTTCCTTAATTACCTTCCCAAGGACTTGAAACAATAAAACCTTCAGCTCAACTATGAAATATTTAGAGGGTCAAGAAATGTTGATTAAAACTGGGAGAAAATACTAGGAGGCAAGTATAAGCACTGGGAACCAAGGACGATATAACAGTAGCTCTCTAGGAAAAAAAGTATGTTCATGAAATGCTGCCTCTTTGTTTTCTCGAAGCCACCATTGTCTTTGTAATCCTGCCCTCAATACCTCTTAGTTCCACCCTAATTATTAAACACCTTATGTGTTGCTATATCCAAATACTGTGCTACTAGGCCCAATCACATTTATATTCTAATTTGCATAACTCTACATAGAGAGCTTGCATTTCTATCTTTTTTAGGTTAGCCTCGCTGCTTCCGGTACTGAAATTAAACAGTCTATACTTCAACTATATTGTCTGCTGATCTCCACTCTTAAACAAACTCTTGGGGAGATTTGTGAGAGAAATTTCTCCTACAAATGCTTGTCTTTTTTAAAAGAAAAGTGCAGAGTTGGAACAGGGTTGCAATCAGCTGGTTGTTCTTCAGAGACTGCTTAGCTGTTTGTGGGGTAGAAGTCCAAGTCCGAAGTGGAAGAATTGTTGAATTTGGGTCAAATTACTTGCGTATTTGCACATATGTTCTTGCATTGAAACCACAGTATGGAAAACTTCCCAAACATCAGGTTCATTGCAATGTATGGCTGGTGTGCTGAGGAAGATGGGCTTGTTAATATTTAACAAACTAGGCCAGTTGGATATTGATGTTTCTTCCCTCAGGTTTTTCCCTCTTTCCTTTGGTTTACAAATGCTTTGCTTTACAATCCATTTTCCCTTCTCTAAGCGCTTTTATATTGATTTATTAAAAAATTCAGCCGCTTCTATCATTGAAGTTGGAAACAATAGTCAGACATAATTTTTCTCTTTGGTCATAGTCCTGCAGTTTGGGACTTATATTAACTCCTGAAGAATAACCCAACAATATAAAATATATTTTGAAAGCATTTTGTTTCAAAGGCATTTTGTTCTAAAATCTTGTTCAAGAGTGAAATAAGCAGTAATAGCCTTTTGATTTTACACAAGCCGTTTTCTTCCACTTGTTTTTATAAACTTAACTAAGCTTTCCTGAATTTTAGAGGAAGAAACAGCAAATGATTTTAATGATGGTTTGTTAAATAAGCCACAGAGGTGCGAGTTGGTTACATCACCCTGTGCTGGAGGCATTATGTGTGGCCTGGTACTGTGTAAGAACCAGACCAACAATCCACTTAGACAAAATAATTACAAGCATAATGTGGAATGTGAAAAGGAAAAAAGGAAGACAGGCTACTTAAAATGTGTGTGTGTGTATGTGTGTAGGTATAGGTATGTGTCTTCCTCAATCTTGGGTCCTCTACCAGAGATCTGGGAGTTTGAGGGTTCTGCACAGTATCTTAGCTGTTCCTAGCACTGCACTCTTCTGGATGGAGAGCTCTGAGGTTGCTCCTGGGATCTTTTGGAGCCCCTCTCCCAGCCTACGAGTCACAGCCTCAAGTGTTCCTATCACCACTGGGACCACTTTGGCCTTTACTTTCCACATCCTCTCTAGTTCCTCCTTCAGGCCCTGGTACTTCTCCATCTTCTCATACTCCTTCCTGATGTTGCTGTTACTTGGCACCACTACATCTATCACCACCACTCTTCTGAGCCTTGTCTGCTACCATGATGTCTGGTTCATTGTCCCGTACCTGCGGGCCTGTCTGGATTTGGAAGTCCCGCAGGATCTTAGCCCTGATATTCTCCACGACCTTCTGTGGAATCTCCCATCTGGACTTGGGAGGTCTAGCCCATATATTGTGCAGATGTTCCTATACGCAATGCCAGCTACTTGGTTGTTCCATTCAGTATATGTTGTTCCTGCCTGTGTCTTTCACCCTACCGCTACAGGTAGTCCTTGACTTATGACCATTCATTTAACATGAATGGATTGATTCATGGGGAAGCTGGATTGATTCATTTAATGACTGCATGATTCACTTGATCGTAGCAAAAGGTGATAAAATTGGGCGTGACTCACTTAACAACCTCATCACTTAGCAACAGAAGTTCCAGTCCCAATTGTGGTTGTAAGTTGAGGATTACCTATATGTGTTGGATTGCCTCTGAAGCCTCTCTGCACAGTCTGCACCTTGGATTCTATCTAGGTATATATAAAATCCTACCTTCAGCAATTAAAATGTCCAAAGTCTTTTACATACTTGACTTATGACCACATTGGGACTGGAACTTTTGTCACTAAGCAACGCGGTCATTAAGTCATGCCCGATTTTACAACCTTTTTTCCACGGTCATTAAACAAATCCGGCTCCCCCCATTGACTTTGCTTGTTGGAAGCCCCCTGGGAAGGTCACAAATTGCGATCACATGACCCCAGGATGCTGCAACTGGCATAAATACATGCTGGTTGCCAAGCACCCGAATTTTGATCACATGACCACAGGGATGCTGCGATGGTCATAAGTGTGAGGACCAGTCACAAGTCACTTTTTCAATGCTGTCATAACTTTGAGTGGTTGTTAAATGAATGGTCATAAGTCGAGGACTACCTGTATTTTTCTTAGAAAGACAAGCCCTTTCAGATGTGATACTGAACGTAAATCAACAATCTACTACTCCAAATCAGATGGATAGTAATTTTTTAGCTACTGCATATGTTGATGAATATAAGCAGATATTGATTCTGATGGATGAGCTTGTCTTCAGGGAAAAAATAAAAAATCAAGACTGTTGATCTTTTCTAGGAATCTGCTGCTTGAATAAATACCCAGATGGTACCAATATGTTGGCATGTGGACCTTAAAAATGTGTTTGTCCTTTAACTTCTGGGTTCATTTATTCAAGGCCTTGTCATTTTGCATCTTTACAGCAGCTCATTTTTTTGCCAACTTTTGAGCTTTGTTTGAGAACAAGGTGACAAATCGCTTTATATGTGGGAGAGTTTATAGTCCTCATACCTGTGCTGCCTTTCATAACAATCTGGTACAGCTTGTCTTAGCTCTGACCCTCTGTTCACTTCACCTCCTTATTTACATTACTAGTCAGGGTTCCTAGCCAGAGGCAGCAGAAAAATTCAAGCTCCGTTTCACTGAATTATGTGGTCCTTTCTTTTTGGTTGCGAAGTTTTTATTCCGCATTTTCAGCGTGCAGAGATAATGTTTATTCCTGCTGTTCAGTAAAACTTCATTATTGCCTTCATTTCCCTGTTTAGGACTCCTGAACAATGTCCAAGTGTTGTTTCCCTGTTGTCCGAAAGTTATAACCCTCATGTCCGTTATGGAGCAGCCATGGCCTTGGGTATCTGCTGTGCTGGAACAGGAAACAAGGTAAGGGCAGATGTACACAGAGTGCTGTCCTTCTTTTTCCACTAAAGTCCAAGGGCTGGAGCAATTATGTTTGGAAGAAGCTCTGGAGAAAGCAGATGGTCCAGTTAATGTACATCAAAAATGAGCCTCAGTCCAATGAGCCATTGTTACAGAATGCCTCCTAAAAAACATTTCTGTATTGAAGGGTTTTTTTTTGTTTTTTTTTGGGTGCCTTCAAGTCACTGTTGACTTCTGGCAACTGTCTGGACAGGTCCCTGCAGTTTTCTTGGCAAGATTTTGGAAGTTGCCATTGCCTGCTTCCTAGGGTTGAGAGAGAATGACTAGCCCAAGATCACCCAGCTGGCTTTGTGCCTAAAGCAGGATGGCCTCCCCGTTTCTAGCCCAATGCCTAACCACTACACCAAACTGGCTCTCTATATTGAAGATTAAAAAGGCAAAATGAAAAACAATCTCCTTGTTCCTAAAGTTATACTCCTTGTTATTAAATCGTAACAATTTCATTTTCTAGAAAAGAGAGGCATCATCAAAGCTCAAATTTAGGAATACTTAGAGCCATTGATTTATGGTGGACTTGAATTGGGGAAGCTTCATGGAACATTGCTTCCCTGTGAGAAAACAGATGCCTCTGGTGGACCATCTCATTCTTTCACAGCACTCCCATCCTGTGATTAATGATATTCCTTTCCTCTCTCTCTGGAAATTTTTTCTTCCTGTTACTAGAGTGTATAACAGAGCACCTACTGCCTCCACTTTACAAATTGTGCTCCAGACTTCTTAAAAAAAATCCCTTCATGTCTGCTTTAGTCCATCATGTAAAGCAGTGTTTCTCAACCGTAGCCCCTTTTATACCTGTTGGCCTTAAATTCCCCAAAATACCCCCCCCCCCCCCCCCCC